GGTTTGAGTGACTATTTCCTCCCCCTGTTTGAGGAAGTTTTCAGCAATTATTTCTTCAAATACACTTCTATCCCCTTTTCTCTCTTTTCTTCTTCTGGTACCCCTATAATGTGGGTATTGTTCCATTTTGATTGGTCAAACAGTTCTCTTAATATTCTTTCATTGTTGGAGATCCTTTTATCTCTCTCTGCCTAAGATTCTCTGTGCTCCTGTTCTCTGATTTCTATTCCACTAATGGACTCTTGCATCTCATCCAGTCTCCTCTACATCCTTCCAGAGATTGTTTTATTTCTGTGTTCTTTCTCCCAACTTTATCCGTTAGCTCTTGCATATTTCTGTGCAGTTCCAGCAGCATGGTTATGACCTTTATTTTGAATTCTTTTTCAGGAAGATTGGTTAAATCTATCTCCCAAGGCTCCCTCTCAGGGGTTGTCTGGGATATTCTTGTCTGGATCAAATTCTTCTGCCTTTCATGATGATAGAGGTAGTTGTGGACAGTTGGTGTGTGTGTCAGCTGGGAGAAGAAAGTCCCTTCCTGCTTGCTCGTTGCCTTCCTCTCCTGCAAGAATCGTGACCCCTAGTGGCTTGTGCTGGGAAGTTGCACACCAACGGGGACTCTGAGTCTGGCTCGGGTGGCTGCAGAGGAGGCTCTGGGTGGTTGGTGTGGGTGCGGCCACTCTCAGACTGCTCCCCTGCTATGGCGGGGCCACACCGGAAGGGGAATGGATGGGAGGCTGTTTATCGCCCTGAGGGGCCTCAGAGCTGTGCTGCCTCCCAAAGGGTTATGATGCCTGGAGTTCCCTGGGATTCCTAGCTGCTGGTCTGAGTGTGCTGGGATGCTTCCGTCCAACTGTGAGGCCCCTGTCCCTTTAAGACTTTCAAAAAGCACTCGCTTTTCTTTTGTCCCAGGGGCGCCAGCTGCAGGGACCCATTTGCATATTTTGCTGTTGTGTTTCCCTAATATCCAGCACACCATGCACTGTGTGTCTACATTCCTGGTGCAGATGACTAGGGCTGAGTGTTTTACAGTCCTGGGCTCCCGCTCCCTCCCCACTCCAACTCCTTTTCTCCTGCCGGGGAGCTGCAGTGGGGGGGGGGCACTTGTGTCCCACCGGGCCTCAGCTTGTATCTTACCCCCTTCATGAGGTGCTGAGTTCTTGCAGATGTAGATGTACCCTGGCTGTTGTGCTGTATCTTCTGGTATCTCTTTTAGGAACAGTTGTATTTGTTGTATTTTCAAAAATATATATGGTTTTGGGAGGAGATTTCCACTGCCCTATTCACACCACCATCTTGGCTCCTCCCTCCCAACTCATTTTTTGAGGTCAATATTATTCAGATACCAAATCAAAGATAGGGGGAAAAAATCTACAAACTGTTATTTCTCATCAACTTAAATACAAAATTTGTCACCAAAGTATTAGCAAATCTAATCCCACAATGAAAAGAATTATACACCGTTTCCAAGTGAAGTTTATTCCAAGGATGAAAGGCTGGTTCAACATTTGAAAATCAATGAACATAATCCACTTTATGAACAAGTTAAAGAAGAAAATTCATACAATTGCATCAATTACTGGAGGAAGGCATTTAACAAAATCCAGCATCCATTCCTGATATAAACTCTCAGGAAACTATAAATGGAAGGGGACTTCATGAATCTGGACAAAGAGAATGTATGAAAAACTACAGTAAACATCATACCTAATGGTGAAAAACTAAATTCTTTCTCCTAAGAGTAGGAAAAGGCAAAGATGTCCACCCTCACTACTCTTACTCAACCTAGTTTTGGAAGTTTTAGCCACTGAAATAAGGCCAGGAAAGGAAATAAGACATACAGACTGGAAAGGAAGAAGTAAAGCTGAACCTGTTTGCAGATGACATAATTAATTGACTGTATAGAAAATGCCAAGGAATTTACAAAATCAAAGCCAAAGACACTCTTGGAACTAGTGACAGGATATAAAATCAACACACAAAACAACCATATCTCTACATACTAATAATGAACACATGGAAGCTGAAATCACAACCATATACCATTTACAATTGCTCTAAAGAAATTTAAATACTTAGGTATACACTTAAAATATTGTACATAATCCATGTGCTGAAAACTACAAATGCTGATGAAAGAAATTAAGGACTTAGATCAGTGTTAAAACATACTATGTGTATGGGTTAAAAGACTCAACACAGTTAAGAAGTCAATTCTTGCCAAGTTAATATATAGATTTAATGCAGTTCCCACCAAAGTCTCAGACTTTTTGTAGATGTAGACAAGATTATCCTAAAATGTATATAGAATCCATAGGCCGTAGTATAACTAAAACAATCTTGACATGAAAGAATAAAGTGGGAGTAATTGCTCTACCTGATAATAAGGTCTAACTATAGTGCAAAAGGCCTGTACACAGATGTCCATATAAGCTTAATTCTTAATAGCTAAATATTACATACAATACCAATGTCCTTCACTGGGTCAATGGTTAAAAAAATTATGGTACACATATATCACAAAATCCCATTCAGTAACAAAAACAAACTTGACACATGCAACAATTTGTATGAATCTCAAGGGCATGCTGGGTGAAAACTAATTCCAAAAGGTATGGTTTATTTATATAATTTTGAAATGACAAAATTATAGAAATAGAACAGATTAGAGGTTGCCAGGAGCTTGGGACCAAGGTGGGAGAAATAGGAAGGAAGTTGATATGATTATAAAAGGGCAACATGAAGTAATGAATTGTGATAGAACTATTTTGTATATTGTCTATAGTGGTATACACGAGAACCTCCATATGTGATAAAATTGTACAGAATACACAGATACACAATGACTACAAGTAAACTTTGGGAAATCTGAATAAGGTAGATGGATTATGTCAATGTTAATATCCTACTTACAATATTGTACTACGGTTTTGTAAATTGTTTCCATTGGGGGAAACAGTAAAGTGTACAGGGGATCTCAGTATTATTTTTATATGTGAATATACAATTATCTCAATAAAAATTATATTAAAAATCCTACTAATGTTTTTTTCAAGAATAATACACTACTGTCATCTTTAGCATCATAACAGCTTATTTATTGGCTGCTAATCAGGTTTGCATGAGGCCTCAGATAATGAGCAGCTATAGGCTACTGGCTCAAACTAAGCTGAAGCACATAGGTTTTTTGATGTTTCTGATCTTCAGAGTCATTGATCACACTGGTACACTCTGACACTTTCCTAAGGAATCATCTGACCTCCTAGGAAATCGCTGGCACTATCAGTGTGTAAGCAGACTGTATAGCCACTTCGTGAGTATGGTAGACAAGACTGAGAAAGGGACTGAAAAGATACCAGCTTGAAAGAAATAGTTGAAGAAACTGGGCTATTTTCCCTGAGATAAAATAGCATAAACAACAGCACACCTGGTTTAAAACTGTTTTAGGGCAAAGAAAGTGACCATGTTCTTTCAGGTCCCAAGGGTGAGTGAAGATAAGATCAGCAATTAACCTCAGGGGTACTTTATAGAAGCAGGCAGAGGCTTAGCAGAAACAAGGACTAATTGGGCTTCCCAATAGTGAGATGTGCTGTTTCTGGAAGTAAAGAGTGCTCTATTATGGGAAGCATTTAAGTGGAAGTCATTGACCATCTCTAGTGTGGAGATTCTCTTAATGTGCAGATTCTAACACCAAAGTAATCACGTGAAACCAGTCTGCTAGTGCACTGACCCAACACATCTCTGGTCTCCTCAATGGCTTTTTGTTTTTCCTGATTGGAAACTTCTCTTCTTTGGTGATTAGAAGGGAAAGAGAAGGAAGGACTGTGAGGCATTGGGATTAGTGTTCTGTGTAGACTGGAATCTTTTTGCAGAAAAAATCAAATTATCATTGTGTTTGCTGGCATGTAAGGACACTGAACCCTGCAGTAATCCCCTCGACTAATTTGGGAGATTGACATGTACACAGGATAACTATGGGCAGCTTTTAGTTCTGGCATTTTACTATGTGAAATACAATTGTTGCAATGTTTGTTTTTCCTAATAAACTATGAGCTCTCCCAGGAATGCCATGTCTTATTTCTCTTTGTGTTATTCCTTCATCTAGAGCCTTGCACATAGTGGCTGCTTGATAATTTCTCCATAAAAAGGTTCTCAGACATGATCATATTGTTTGTGGTGTAGTTCATATACCCAACACTAGGCAAGCATTTCCTCACAGAAAGAAGGGGGAGCAAGTTTCCAGTTTGTTTTCAGGTGACATCTAAAATAGATCATGTGACTGTTTCTAAAGGTATCTTCCTACCACTGCCTTCATATAAAGTCAAACAGGGAGATAAAATGATACTCTTAATGGTTTAGCTTTTGACAAAGTTCCTGTGCTGGACACTTTAATCTTGTTTGGTGCCTTAGGTGTAAGAAGAATGGGGAGGCTGTGGGCATTTTCTTGAGGCTGAGCCTGGTGGGTTAGTGGACTGGGGAGCCTTTATTAATGAGCAGGGCCTTCTTAAACTTTAGAAAACCTTACTGATACACATAGCAGTGTGGAGATCTCCCCTCCCACCATTTCCTTACTCTTGGGGGGCAAGGGAGGAAGAGGAGGGTGATGTGTTGCTGGACCTTCAAGAAAGGAAAAAGGAAATACAGAGAAGCTAAGATGAGGAGAGAAAAAAATCAGGCCCAAGCTCAGAGGAAGGTATGCTAGGAACAACTGGGCCTTCTTGGGCCCTTTGGTGGAAGAGTGGGAACACTCACAGTGCAGGGGCCTGGTCATGTAGTTCATTTGAATGGTGGGGAGAGGTACTTAAAAACACACCAAGAGAATGAACCCTGGCCTTGCCAGGCAGCTGTTTGTCAGTCAGTCCTTCCAGGACTTCCCCATGCACAGCCCTCCTCCTCTTGCTGGGATCGCTCCCAGAATGTCACTAGTAAGATAACACGGACCTGGGGGGGGGGGTGAAGGGGAGCCTAAAATTAAACCCCTGAATCTAGTCAGCCCAGGGACCAATGCCTAGTCTTTAGGAGGTGTTGACTCAGTTAGGAAACTGAGGGCTTTGCCTGCTCCGGCCCAGGGGCTGTAGGGTTTCCGTGCTGGGCCATCAGGACACAGTACTTCACAGAGGAGTGAGGCAGTGACCTTGGGCAGCTTGGCCTCAAGCAGAAGCCTGGTGAGTACCTGGAATCTAGGTTCCCCACAACACTGCCTGAGAGGAGTGAATCATTAGGGCTGCGGGCTGATGGACCTGTGACCACCATCTTCCTAGGTTTTTCTCACTAGGTCTGGTGTCTGGGGGCACTTGGAAGGTCAGCAGAGAAACCTGCATTCAGAGGGAAGGAGGGACACAATGATAGCTTCCTGCTGTGCCTGTCCCAGAAGGAAGTGTTTGCGTAAGCTTGTAGGGGTACAAATGGACCTACTTTTTGAGGAAAGTTGCTGTTAATACATGGATGGGAAGTGGTGAAGGTTTGTCTTTCTGTGCCCTCTGTGGTACTTGTCAGTCTGTTTTTGGTTGAGGGGAGGGGGATGCAGTGGAGTGGGCTCAAGGGCAGAAGGGCAGAGCTTCTGAGGGTTAGGAGGGGTAGGTGAAGCTTAAAAATAGTCTACTAATGCCTGGAGAACTGTTCTAGGGCACACAGAAACCAGCCACTGTCCTGTAGGAGTATATAACCTGCATTTACAGACTCCCCAAGAGGATCTTAGAATTCAAAGGGTCCTAAAACATGGATGGGACAAACAATTACCCTTTCCCCCCTAATCACTAACTGAAATTTACCATTTTCTTTAAGAATGAATGCAGGCAGCAAATGGCAGTAATATTACCAGTTTTATAACTTGGTCACCAGAAGAAATCACAGACATGTCATATCATATTACAGTTATGACATTTGGAAATGTCATTTATGCTTAAATGACAGCAAGGTGAGGTTGAACAACAGATTAGTTAGATTTTCTTATCCTATCTAATAAGGCACAATTCACTCAAGTGCCAAACCCAGCTGGGGGCCATGGCTGGATCTCCCTCTGGAAGCTTATTAGATGGACCCTGTTTTGGGTTCATGGTATGACCTTGGTGAGAACTTTAGCATTTCCCTCCACACTCCCTGCCCTCTTCATCTCCCTGGGCACCACTCCCACAGAAAAAAATAGTAAGAAGGGAATCCCTACTGGCTGTCAGAAGAAATGGTTTGTAAAGAAACCTCCCATGACCAAAGTCCTTGAATTCAGCATGACCCTCAAAGCTGAGGATTTGGGGAGCGATGTGAGTCTGTTTGAGGCAAGGGGCAGGGGCATATGTTTGTTTTTTCAGGTTGCAATATAAACAACAGGATGGGCAGTAGGGAAACCTGGATTCTATTTCTGACTCTGCATTTGTGTTGATGTAAGGTACCTGGAAAATCTCTTACACTTTCAGACCTCAGTTTCCTCCATCAACAAATTGGGGATAATATTACCTATTCCACTATGTGAGATAGCTTTGAAAAGCACAGATTATAAGTGTGTTTTGGGTTCTTGCTAATGAGACAACTGACAATAACAGTAATGTGGTCTTAGGAAAAATCTCTGCTCTCCTCTGAGCCTTGGTTTTTTCCCTTCTCTAAATTGAGGAAATTCAATGAATTACTCAGTACATTCCAGCTCTGAGGTAATAGGATTTTAAGTAGGGAGCAGTTGTCATAGAAATTGGAGAACTAAGTAATAATAATCATCATAGTAAAAATAATCATCATAGTAAAAAACACAGTTACTGAGTGCTACATTCAGGTGCTCTTCTAAATATTTAATATGCATTAACTCATTTAATCCTAACTCATTTAACCTTCTGAGGCAGGTACTACTATCATCCTCTCTTTACAGATGAAAAAATGGGCACAGAGGGTTTTAAGTAATTTGCTCTAGGTCACACAGCTACTAAGTAGTGGAGCTGGGATAGAAACAGAATTCCAGACCATGTTTAACCATTACCCTATATGGCCTTTCAATCTGCAGTAGAAGCTAAAGACTCCATATAGAATGAGTTACAATACAGTGTGATGACTGCTATGTTGCTATAAGAGCACAGCCTCTGGAGGAACTAACCGATCAGAAGGAACTGCATGTGACAGAAAGAAGCATGATATATATGGAGAGTCATCATTCTCTTCCCTTATTGCTGGATAATGGGGTATACAAAGAGAAATAGTAAGAAGTTAGGCTGGAAATGTTGGCCAAGATTTGCTTATGATGGACCTGTGAGCCAGTCTAAGGCATCTGGGCTGTATTCTGAAAGAAAGAGAGCCCATTAAGGGATTTAAAACAGGGGATTGGCACAGGCCAGATTTGTATTTTTAAATGATCATTTTGGCCACAATGTGGAGAAAGTATTGAAAAGAGAAACTAGCTAGGACGTTACTGCAATAGTTGAGGCAAAGATGATGGAGGCCTAGATAAAACACTGATAATGGGGAAGGTCCTGAGGGGAGGGGCCTATAAAGGTCTCTAGGAAGCAAAATTCACAGGATTTGATGACTACTTAGACAGGAATGGGACAAAGAGATAAGAGGCCTAAGATGAGTCTTGGGTTTTTGGTTTAGTTGACCAGGTGGATGCTGAGAAATTGAGATATAGATCAAGTTTGGTGATGATGGTAGTGGTAGTGGTGGTGTGACACTGCTAACTTTGAATTGCCTAAAGAAACTCAGTGAATACATACCGTTTGCTGAGGAGAGAACTGGGGGACTTGGAGTGATAGGCTTGAAATCATCAGAATAATGAGAGCTAAAGCTCTGGGACTAGAGAGAAAAGAATCAAGGAAAGAACAAGGGGACCATAACTATTTCAGGGGAAAACAAAGGAGAGTAAAAGCAGAAGAGTCTGCTGGTTAGAAAGCCAGGAAGAGTATGTAGGAGGAAGTGGACAGTGGGGAAAGATATCCCAGAAATCTCAAAGAAGGAAAGATCTGAGAAGCAGCCAGTAGATTTAACTACAAGGAATCATTTTTCAGATAACTATTTCAGTGTGTGATTGAGGGTAGGTGAAGCCAGAATGCAGTGGGTATAGAAGTGAATGGGAAGTGGTAAAGTAGATGGAAGACAACTCTTTGTATATGTCTGATGAAAAAGAGAGATATGAAGAGAAAGGTAGCTAGAGTAGGACCATAAAGTGTTTGTTTTGTTGCTTCAGATGGTTAAGGGGCAGAAGCCAGTGAGGAGGCTGAAGACTCAGAGAGAGGAGGAAGCTCATTTTTTAATATATAATATATGGTAGCTCTCTCCATTTTAACTATCATTTCTCTCTTATAGATGAGGAACCTGAATCCCAAAGAGGGGAAGAGACTTGCCCAAGGTTAGTCAGCTGGGAACTGGGGATGCTGAGTTGCAAACTTAGTTCTGCCTAATTTCTAAAATCCTCTCTTATAATTGTACCTCTAAAATAAATAAATAATAAAACCATACATGGAGTTGATGATGGCAGATAGGGAGGGGCCTAAAATTGAGAAAAACCCACCCTCTCACCTCACAATTGTTTCTATGAGGTGTATACCTGAGGTCTCAGGCTAACAAAGAGATGTGGACATAGACAGTGAATATAAGAAGGTATATGGCCCTGAGACCATGGCTGCAGAGTATGGGAGAGTAGGGAGACTTGAGCTCTGATTAACCTACCAACTTATCCTGATGACATTACAGACTGAGGTGGGTGACTTTGACTTTAAAGCACTAGAAACAGGATAGGTAAGGGTTAGGTTGAGTCAGTCATTGGGCCATGAGTGATATATAGGACTTAGGGATAATGGAGAGGGAAGAGTTGAGAGTTGAGACTAGGCTCCAAGCTGGGTGAGGCAGAGATGATGGGAAAAGGTTTGACCCAGAAATATGGGGGAGTCATGGGTTCCAAGAAGGTTCTGGGAATCAAAGGGACTCTTAGATTGAAATAGTCCTGGGGGAAAAACTAGTTTTCCATCAGAGAGAAGGACTTTCCCTGGAAACCTCAACTATATCCTTCCATCTTTGTCTTTGTTTTACTTAAAGCATGTTCTTTGTAATGCTACTTCTTTATTTAATTAGTAAATATCATTGAACATCCTTTTCCTGTGCAACTCTGTTACCTGAAGCACGGGGCCTGAGTCTGAGTGGAGGTTATATACGAGGGACTGTGAAGAGATTGAACTTCATGGAAAAGGCTGAGAGGTGTAATTGAAGGCCTGCCCTGTGGGACTGATGTCAGAATGCTCAAGAATTGCAGCTTAATACCACAAAACCCTATTCTGTTGGCCTAGCAACTGTCAGACCAGAACCACCTCATTACTCCACACATTCTAAACTAAGAAAGATGCATCTACTAAATTCCCAGCCATGAAATAGGTCCTACTGGTAGTAGAGGAATACAAGATGGATGTAAACTCACCCTGCAGTTTACACACTAATGAAGCACAGAGAAGTGGAAATGTGTAAAAGTTCATAGCTAAAATCTAGCTGTGATCCTTTGGAATCTCAGAGTGGGGGACGAAATTAAGGAATGATTCCCAGAAGTAGTAGTTTGAAGGACAGGCAGAACAGCATATGCAACAGCACAAAACTGCAAAATGGCCTGATCTGTTTTGGCAGCCATCTCTGGGGCCTGAAATAAGATGAAGAAGGAGTTAGAAGCAGGAAACCCATGAGTGAGGAGCCTAATGTTGAAGGATTGGAGGCAAGGGTTGGTATCCAGCCTTTTGAGGGGGGCCCTCAGTTTTGCTCCCATTTTTGTCATCCACAGATCTGGCATGTCCTGTTCATAATGAGAATATTTCTGCTCCAGTCAGCCAAGATGAACCTCATGAACATCACCAAGATATTTTCCCTCCTGCAGCCTGACAAGGAGGAGGAGGACACCAACAGGGGGGAGAAGCAGGCTCTCAATCAAGCAGTATACAATAACGACTCCTATACTTTGGATCAGCTTTTGCACCAGGAGCGTTACAAACGTTTCATCAACAGTAGGAGTGGCTGGGGCATTCCTGGGACACCGTTGCGCTTGGCTGCTTCTTATGGCCACCTTAGCTGTTTGCAGGTCCTCTTGGCACATGGTGCTGATGTTGACAGCTTGGATGTCAAAGCACAGACACCACTTTTTACCGCTGTCAGTCATGGCCATCTGGACTGCGTGCATGTGCTTTTGGAAGCTGGAGCCAGTCCTGGGGGTAGTATCTACAACAACTGCTCTCCTGTGCTTACAGCTGCCCGTGATGGTGCTATTCCCATTCTGCAGGAACTCCTGGGCCATGGTGCAGAGGTCAATGTCAAAGCTAAACTACCAGTCTGGGCATCAAACATAGCTTCATGTTCTGGCCCCCTCTATTTGGCTGCAGTCTATGGACACCTTGACTGTTTCCGCCTGCTTTTGCTCCATGGGGCAGACCCTGACTACAACTGCACTGACCAGCACCTACTGGCTCGAGTCCCACAGCCCCGCACCCTCCTTGAAACCTGCCTTCACCATAATTGTGAGCCAGAGTATATCCAGCTGTTAATTGATTTTGGTGCTGACATCTACCTTCCATCTCTCTGCCTGAACCTGAACTCAAAAGATGACAGAGGCACTGAATTGCTGCTACAAGCCCGAGGTGAGTGTCAAGCAGGCCAACCCTACAGAACTCCTGGCTTGGAAATCTCAGGGCCCCAAATCAACCCCCTGCCCCAAACCATTCCTTATGGGATGTACTGGAGAAAACACCATCTTCCTGCATCTCCTGAGACCCCAGTGAAAAAGAGGTTGCAAATTCCTTATTAGGGAAGGGATCACTAAGATGAGGTGGGGGATAGCACTGTCCCAATTTCTGGTTCTGGCTCTGCCAATGACTATTTTGTGGCCTTGAGCCTGCCCTATCTAGGCCTCAGTTTCTCACCATTGAGGTTAGGGTGGAGGATATATCTTAGAAGGGAGAGAACAAGAGCCATGGCAGGGTGGATGTAAGCCTGGGTGGGAGGATTACACTGAGAAGCCTCTCATGACTGATTTTTCCTTGCTGTAGCCACTCCACGTTCACTACTATCACAGGCCCGTTTAGTTATACGCAGAGCCCTGCATCACGCCAGTCAACCACAAGCCATTGACCAGCTGGATATTCCTCCTGTGTTGATTAGCTACCTAAAACACCAACTGTAATCTCGCAGCCTCCCCAGAAAACCCATGATGCCTCCAAACACCACCTGAGGACCCAGGTAGGTGGAGGGCACTAGCTCCACTCAGTCACCTGGAGCTCCTCTCCTGTATTCTCCTCCATAATAAAATATTAAATAAAATAAATCCTGGTGGCCACTGTGTCTAGTGTGTGTGTGGCAGTGGGGGCAGTGTTCAGTGAATGAGGGCCTGGTTGACCATGAGGAAAGATGGTAATGGTCTGGCATTTGACGTGCATATGAGTCCTGACAATGGAAAGAAAAAAAAAAGAAAACCAACCTACTGGCCTACACCTCCTCACCAAGATCCTTGAGAAAATTTGGAGCTGTGTTCTCCTGGAAGCAAGTCCTGAAAAATTCAAGTGGTGGAAGGGTAGCATCAGCTCTGTACCTCCCTTCACTTCTCTGGCTGTCACCCAACCCCTTATTACTTTGAGTCAAGTGACCAAGGAACCTACCATTCGCTCACCTTGAATCATTGGCTGCATTCTCACTAGCCTAGTTTATAGTCAAGATCTAACTAGGAAAACAACTACCAAATATTTATGACAGAGAATTTAATGCAGGAAAAGAAAAGGTTACATAGGTGATAGGCTGAGAATCCAAGCAGGACAGAAAGACAACCCAGAGATTAGTGACAGCAGAAGGCTAACACCACCCCTATGCTGGAGGGGTGAGGGAAGAGTATGTCCAGAGTCCAGGGACATGGGGTCACCTGATGGAAAGTGGAATCACAGGCCTGTCCATTAGGCACTGGAATCATAGAAGAGAGACTCTGCCCAAACCAAACGAAATGAAGAAATACCCTCTCCTTTTCCTCATTCTTGCCCTCCAATCTGCCTCCAATATCTCACTGGGGGAAATGAAGTCAACTAATAGTCAGCCTGGGAAACACAGCCTACAAGGTCAGCCCACTTGAAGTATAAGACAGAGCAGGGGAAGATGAAGAATGGAGGCAGAGTGGGAGGAAGTGACATGACCTGGGCCAGGAGCTGGAATACCACGGAAGAGTTGGGAGTATACTGACTGACAGTGGAAGCCATAGAAGAGACACCACCAGAAGCACAAAAGGCAGAAGCTTCTCCATTTTTCCTACCCTCCCACCAGTGGCTCTCATTGGTTGAACACACCAGAAGATGATTGATGAGGGAAGCTGGGAAACATCCTGCAGTTGTCAGTCCTTCTATGATGTGGAGAAGAGCAGGGGAAAGAGTCAAACAGGCCCTGGACCAGCACAGGTAACAACCCAAATCCAGATCCAGACACCTTCATTTTGCCAAATCTTTATCCTTCCACAATACCTTCTTATATTTCTTCTGTACAACTGTAGGTGGGAATGTGGATGAACAGTGAAAGGAACACAAGATAAAGGGGGGGAGGAGTAGAATCCAGATAATCTGTATCAAGGAGCACTTTAGATGTTTAGAACTCTTCTTGGGAGCTGCTTTGACAGCTCCCCCTACATCATGATCACTTATCATGGAGAAAAAGAGGACGAAAATGGGGTCTTGAACTGACTTGTCTCTCCTCACTCTTACCTCCCCCACTATCCCTAGCTTCCAGTGCCGGAGAGATTTAGGAAGGAAGGCAAGAGATCTGGACATCTGTCTCCATAGTCCTGTCCCACTTAGTTTCCAGACTTTCATTCTTATGCATTTTGGAGAGCAGTTCAACTGTTTATATCCAAGGAGCAGGAAAACTGAAGAATTGGACTGTGAATACAGACAGAGGGCTCCAGGGCAGTCAGCCTCAGCTCTCTTCTACCTTTCTTTCAATCTAGATTCCTGAGGGATGAGTTGCCCAGGACCCCATTCATGACTCTGCCTCCCATCCCCTTAGTCAGGGGCCTTGTCGATTAGGAGTTGACCTCAGCTCTCCCATCTGCTAATCCATTTTGAGTAAATTTTTGTATTTGGTGTAAAATAGTGGTTCATTGTTTTGCATGTATGTGTCTGTCCAGTATTCCCACCACCATTTATTGAACAGACTTTCCTTTCCCCATTGTGTATCTTGACTCCACTGTCATAAAGCAATTGACTGTATATGTTTGAGTTTTTCCAGCAGCATTAATAACTACCCTCTTGGAGGCACAGAACATTTAACTGCTTACAAATTATTTCTGCACCATGATTTCATTTACTTCTAGAACAACTTAGTGTGGTAGGCAGAATCGTTTTTGTACAGATGTGAAAACTAAGACCTAGAGAAGGGAAGGAGTGGGCCCAAGATCACACAGTGAGGCACTGGTAGAGTTAGGACTAGAATCCACAGGGCTCATTATTGTCCAGGCCGAGGCTCTTTCCAGGATTCCATGTTCTGCCTCATGTGTGAGTGGGAGCACTGGAGAAGAGGGAAGGGGGTCACAGGCCTTGGATGTGTGTGAATGAGGCATCCTCTCACCCAGAGGTGTGGCAGTCCATTAGCTGTGGGGCCCCAGCCCTGACTCCATGATAGAGCTGGCATTAAGGAGTGACGTGGAAAGGCAGGGAAAGGTGGCAGTCCCAGGCACTGGGGATACGCTAAAGGGGCTGGGATAAGTCTAGAATGAAGGGCTTGGCATATGGGAGGAGCAGAGCTCTCCCTCTCCCTGCTGTACTTTTGCTGGTTATTTCCAAACTTTAAAGGAGCCACAGGGGAACCCTGCTCTTCCACAGTCAAGCCATCTGCTTGACCAACATGAAAGATGAATGACCACCTACTTCCTCCTGTTACCTTCTAAGCTCTGTCCACCTATAGTCACAGAAGACATGAGCTTTCAGACACTAGTTTCCTTGCTAGCTCCCTACTATACCAGTCTCCTCCCCCAACAGGCTACCAACTCTCAGTAGAAAAGCAGAAACTGGGCTGATGGAAGGGTCCAGTCCAGTGACCCCTTCAGTGCCCTCACTTGCAGTTCTTTCACCTCCTTGACTCTCACAACACCATCTACCCTCCATTTCACCATCTATTAATTTGGCCTCTCCTGGAAATGCAGATCCCCCTTTCCCACCAGAATTGCCTGCTTTACCAGAAGTGCCATTCCTGGAACCCCAAAGTTTGACATCTCAGAATCTCCCATTCTGTCACTCAATAAATATTTACTGAGACCTACTCTGTGCCAGGCTCTGCATTTTAGGTACCACGTGATCCCCAACTCTCTCTCCATTTGCCCCCCTGCCCTGTCTTTACTTCCTTTTCTGTCCATCTTTGACCCTGAGTTCATTCAACCACTTCAGTCTCTCACCTGGTAACATGCTAACTTTGGATCAAGGCATCATCCTCTCCTAAGCCTGGGCTGATAAACACCATAGGATAAATCAAAGTAACAAATCATCATAAGAATCTGAAGAGTTACTATGTATTGAACACTTAGTATGTGCCATGCAATGTGTTCAATAATTGCTGAGCATGGATTAACTCATTTAATTCAATGGCCTTGTTTTACTCATGTCCACTTTATAGATGAGGAAACTGAGGCACAGGAATTAACTGAGTTTTTCAAGGTCAGATAGAAAGGCAGCAGAATATCATGAAATTTAATAAGATAGCTGAACATTCATGGGTGACAGCCCAGCTAAGCCTTTAACAACTTGCCCATTATTTGCAATAACTATTTCAAACCTTGTCCAATATTAGCAAGCTTCTTTGAACCTCCTCTACTATTACTATTGCTTCTCCTCTCACTTTGGGGACTTTGCCTCCCACTTCCCAGAGTAGGTTGAAGTCATTAGGCTTAACATGTTCAATGTTCCATAACAACAAACTCTACTGCATTCACATACCTTTCCCTCTTGTTTAGGTTCCTCCTCCCAGCCAAGGCCAACTCATCTTTAGGGGCTCTGGGTCCCATCCCCCAGCCCCATCCAGGACCTCCCACCCATCAATTATCTTGTGTGCTATAACTTTAACTTGACTGATTTTTTTCCCCTCAGCATACAAGCAAACTCACATCCTTCATTATAGTAAAAACAAACTCAAGCCCCAGGGCTCCCTTAGCCACTGTCTCTTTGCAATCAAACTTCTGGGACAAGTAGGCTGCATACATCTCCCTTTCCTCACCATTGTCTCAACACCCCACTGCAGTCTGATATACACCTTCACTCTTGCTCTAAACTGGCCTTGCTCACATCACCAGTGACTTTCCAGATCCATATCCATTGGCATCTTTTTCTACCTTTATCTTGGTGGACCTCTGGGCAGCATCTGACACGTAAATTCTTGGTAATACTGTCTTTCATAAAGTCCCATGTCTTCCTTGGCTTCTGGAAGAGCCAGCTTCCCTGGCTCTAGTCTCACCTTGCCAATCTCTCCCTCTCAGGGATTTGTGGGCTCCTTTTCCTTATTCCTCCCTTTCTCTCACACCCAAGTGCCATCACCAAGTCTGCCCAGTTCTGTCTTCCAAATGCATCCAAAATTCAAACACATCTTACCTCCACTACCTCCACTTTGGAGTCTCCTTTCTGGTCTCATTGCTTCCTCCCTTGCTTCTAGAGCTCCCCAAACATTTCACTAAGACCATGCCACTCCTCAGCTCAACATCCTGCAAAGTCTAAAATCTTTAAACTGACCCACAAAGCCATACACCATCTGCCACACATGTCCTGATGCCCTCTCCTACCACTTTCCCCACTCACTCTGCTCCAGCTGGACTGGCTGCCTTGTTGCTCCGCTAACATTCCAGCACATTTCCACCTCAGGGTCTTTGTACTTGCTGTTCCTTCTGCCTGGGATGCTCTTCCTCTAGATATTCTCATAGTTTGCTCTTTCAGAGTTTTGCTTGAATGTTACCTTTTTGGTGAGGCCAATACTAACTCCCCTGTTTAAAACAGCACCCTCCCATCAATACTCTCTGTACCCCATTCCTGCTCTTTTTTTCTCCATATTATTATCTTATATACTACATTTTATTTATGTATTTTGTTCATTGTCTATCAGTCTTCATGGAGCCTTCATTATCATGATTGGAAACAGACAATTAAAAACTGATGATAAAAGTAAATAAATAACAATAAAATAATATGGCAGGAGGTGGCAAATTACTATGGGTAAGAGAAAAGGCCACTTAGGGGATTGGAGAACAAAGAGGGTAATAATGGGGACTGCTATTTTATATTTCAAGTGTCCAGGGAAGATCTCACTAAGAAGTTGACATT